CTCTGCAGTAGTGACTCTCCCGGGTGATTTCCTGGTACCTCCAGTTCTGCAGCTCACCGTGTTTTCCTGGTGTGTGCTTACTGCTGATGTGCTCACTGGTGGGATCCACGTTCTTAACGGCTTTGGCAATGAGACAAACCTGAGATGTGTGCCTGCCCGCAGTACACCTGCTGGCAGGCTTTTTTCAGGGCTTTTCTCTGGAAGGATTTCTTGAAATTGCATTAATTACACTTTTATACACGGTTTCGTTGCACTCTACCCATTAGCCTGACAAGTTTCTGGACCTCCTTTTCAATCTCTGGTTGGTATGAACTGTACTGCAGCAGAAGTTCTGCAAGAAAGGTGGTCTGATCAAGAAGCTTTAAGCTCTTATTAGACTGTGTGTCTGAAAAAGGACCAGAAAAACTCTTAATGCCTCAGTAGGGAGTGCGTTTCCTCTGAGCCACTCTTTATGATATCTGTTTGGACAGATTGTTTTGTATCTTTAACCACTGTGAATTAATCAGTCTCACCATCCAGCCATTTCCAGGGTCCTGTGCCCATCTCCTCTTACGTTTTAGGAACTGTTGGCTGATAGCAAGTTCCATCAATCACAATTCATCACTTGCCACCCATGATGAAATATTCTTGGACTGTGGAGTAAGAAGTGTTGGACCACGTGGTTAATTGTTTCTTCGCTGTCTTTTTATTCTTAGGGTACTCACAAGAAGATCCTGGATGTTGCCAACATGTTGGGGTTGTCCAACACAGTCATGCGGCTGATTGAGAAGCGAGCCTTCCAAGATAAATACTTCATGATCGGGGGAATGATTTTGACTTGTGTAATTATGTTTCTCGTCGTGCAGTATCTGACATGAGCTACTGACCTGTTACCAGAGGAGATCGTCTTTTGGAGCAAGCTGGACTGTCCTCCAAACTGTACTTTTCCTCTGAGCGTTGCTTTGGATGAGCCCCTCCTGTGAACTTCAGAGTTTACAAATCACACTCGGACATGCGTCATGTGGAAAGCACGTAGGGAAACAAATTTCTCTGGGGACACCGTAGTCGAGAATGGCCCTATAAAAATAAGCCTAACCTTTATTGCCCTCAGCTTATTGTCTGCAAGTTTAAGAACCTGGTTAAATAGGAAAAAGTGAAAATGTTGCCCAGCTTTCTTGCGAGACAGGAGCGTCCTTTTGGGTAGACAGGGATAAAAGGATGAAGATGCTGTGAGCCTTTCCTGTGTTAGCTAGAAATGCCCCTGATGCTGTATTTAGCAATGAAAGAATGCTGCCAAGGAGAATTTCGCAGTTTGTCAGCACGATCCTATGGAATAAGTGTGCAAAAAGAGGCAAGCGGTGAAGGGTTCCTGTCTGCAAAGTCACCGTTGTGCTTGGAGGGAGAAGGATTTGTGGGAACGGGTCTTACCTCTAAAAGCACGGTTATCACCTCAGCTGACCTTTTTTATTTACGCATAGAGTATTAACCAGCACAAATCTTCCCACTTGAGCCTGAGATATTTCTCACCTTATCTGAGGTATTTTTTGGTACCTTTTTATCCCTCGCTGCTTCCCAGTGGAAGCTGAGTGCTGTCCACCTGCCTGCTTTCCGTCAGATGCCACCAGGCCTGTGTCATCTCTCTGTGCCTAGTACCATCCTCCAAAAGCTGCACGACTGACGGTGTCAGTGCTAGCGCACATCACGTTTCGGTGAGCTGTATTCGTTTTCTGAGGTGGGTGGTTGGGGTTTTGTGTCACTGGTATTTTTTGAATCGATGAGGCGGGCGAGTCCTTGCTGTGCTCAAATTGGGATTTGTGATTTTTTGTGTTCGTAGAGCTGGAATGGGCTCTGCTGTTCTTTACATTCAGAGTAACAGCGGGATCAGGGCAACAAACCTTTCACTTAAAATCAATTGTCAGAAGAGTTTCCTGGAGTTACGTGCCTTGGGGTGGTAAACATCCCTCATCCTTGGGAAGGGTGTTCTTTGCATTATCCTTTGTACCTGAAAAATTACTGTGAAAGACATTCTCACACGTTCTCATTCGTATCTCACCGAGATGTCAGCCAGGGTTGATGTATCTCCTCGGTTGTAGGTGTCTGTCCACAGCTAAACATTCGCGGTTATCGTCTCACTGTTTAAACCTGGTACTCCTTTCCCTGCAGACTGGGGCGGGGCTCTGTTAAACTGCCCATCCTGAGATGTCGGGCATCATCCATTTCAATCATCCTTCAGATACATTCCCGTCCTGATCTGTGTACAAGTCTGGAACGTTTCCAGATGTCTGACGGTGGCACAGACATGTCATATTCAGATGATGTGGCATAATGCTGGAAATTCCTTCTCTCTCTCTTTTTTTTTTTTTTTCCCCTTGTCTGGAACGGTTGTGGGTCTTTTAATTAGTAAGAGATTACAAGTTCTGCATCCTATCTTTCCTGCAGTAAGCTTTGATTATTACATAACCTGTTGCAAACTAGGAGAAATGGTCTTAGTAACTGTAAAGAATGAATTTCAGTGAACGTGGGCTTTAGCGGTGCCTGTTCACAGCGGCGTAACTGAAGTGTTGGCTGACCTGTGTGCTGTGGCACGGCTTTACAGCCCAGATCAGAGCACCCAGTTTGATCTGCTGTCACAGACCAGTCAGCTTCATACTGGAACCCAGGGCAAGGGACGAGTCTGCAGTTGGAGGAGCGTTATCTGGCTGCCCACAGACACGGGAGTGGAGGCCAAGAAGCCATCAGTGCCTAGACAATCCCGTCAGATTATCAGCAGAAAAAAGCAGGAAAGCCCCAGTGCTTGTTGGATATCCCGGGCGCTGCTCGCCTTCTGGCTGTCCTTTGTGCTTCTCGACGTGTTTGATGTTCCTCAAGCGTTTTGTGCTCTCTGTGTTCCTTTTTCTGCTGGGCTTTCCCAAGGAAACACATCAGCAGGCCAGGTACAGAATCGGTTTCGTTTGAGCCCGAGGGACTAGGGAATTAAAAGGAAAAGAGGTCTGCAGTGAGAGGTTGTGTGTGTGCTGTATCTTTAATCTAAATCATAAATCTAAACTTACCTTAAATTTATTTTAAATATGAAATCTGATAGATTTAGCGTACTGGGCACTTGAGAGATCATCTTGTATGAGATCAGTTGGGCACCTTGTAAGGGATCCCTGGCAAATCCTTTTCTGTTCTGATAAACTGGTCCAACTCCAACTTGATTTTACAACTTTACAGTTAGTGCTTGAAGGATGACGTTCGATGGTGCTTAGAGTTTACACAGTCGTGATCCGGTGCAGCAGGATTTGCCTCTTACCAAGGTGAGACTCTAGACAATTTGTTTCCTTTTTTGCCTTGTGGTAGGAGCCATTAAATATTTGGAACTGGATTTTTTTTTTCTGTTTCGAGACTAGCGTGGCATTTTAATACATGTTTCTCTGTTCGTTTCTTTTGCCCTTTGAGTGTTTGTGTTCTTGTGTAGGTGCATTTCCCTTTTGTAAGCAAAGTGTCCTCACTGTTCACTGTGTCAAAAAAGGGGAGATGCGGGGCTTGAAGGAACTTCTTGGGTAACTGGATTTGATGATGTGCAACTTCAAGCAAATTTTTACTAGATGTTAAATCCAAAACGATTTACAAGAGCACTGTGCTATCTCAGATGGTTCATGTGAAGCCCTCCAAGCCTCTGTTGTTGCAGTTGTGCCACAGCAGGAGCACAGGTAGGATCCAGATCCCTGCTAACGTGAAATGAGATGGAGCTGAAACCCTGCTGGGTTTACACATGTTGCTGCTACAGCTCTCTGTAAAGTTTCCTTTCTTACTAGAGACTACATTTCCTTCGACGGAGCTGTTTTGCTTCTGAACGTCCGTGGCACAGCCAGCGTTCCAGCTGTTGGGTGAACTGCTGCTCTCTCACGAGAGGACACTGTGGAGATTAACTTGCCTCTGGGAAAATAAATTTTTACCAGTATTTTATACAGAAAGGGGCAACGGGGGGACATGATGTGATTCATGCGATGGGTATTGTGAATAAAGATTTTTCAACCAAACTGGAAGTTTTTTACCTTGAATAACATGTAAGGTGCCCAAATACTTACTTTAAGCTGGACAAATTCCAATTCTCAATATCGATGCAGGTAAGGTGGAAGGCTGGCTTCACCAAACGGGGAGCCCCTGGTGAGCTCAGAGGGGAGCAGGAAGTTCACAGACAGCGGCAGCTCCCAGGAGCAATGGAGAGATGATTCTCCAGGGTCAAAGCCAAAGCTCAGTGGCATTGAAACCGGGGTGGGGTGGGGGGGGCTAAGATAGCAAAAGGAAACAAAGCCACCAGCCAAAGGGAAGGGGACACTCCACGAGGGAGTGGGGTGACAGTCCACTGTCCACGGGACAGTGTGTGGTAGCAGGTTGTAGAATCCCAGAAGGGTTTGGGTTGAAGGG